AGCCTAAAGATTCCCTCAGTTTGTCGGATTATGTGTCTAAAATGCGTAGTAGACTCAGTCGCGCATGTCAGTTGGCTAGAGATAATTTAGGGCTCTGTCAGAAGAGAATGAAGCAGAGATTTGATCAGAAGGCTGTCTCACGAAGTTTCAGTCCTGGGGATAAAGTTCTTGTGCTGATTCCCGGGTTTGGTTCTGCTTTGCAGGCTCGTTACAGCGGTCCCTATTGTGTCCAACGACGAGTGAGTGACTTAAACTATGTTATCTCTACCCCAGATCGAAAGAGAAAAACTACGCTGTGTCACATCAATCGACTGAAGCGTTTTTGTGATCGAGGAGAAGGTTCAATTTCGGAGCTCAAGTCGCTTTGCCCTTTAGGTAACAGAAATGATGAGCGTGCGTCAAAAGTGGCGCTGTCCAAGAAAGGTGGTGCTGAAGTTGCTGTATCGCTGACAGTGGCGACACCTGCTGAAAATGCGTCTCCATCAGAACAGCTGGGTCCGGTGTTTAGTCCTTTGCTGGAAGATGAGGGTCGTATTCCTTCAAGGGAGATTATTGAAGGGAGAATGAAGAATTCTGAGGTTCTTAATGATTTAGATTTATTTTTGTCTAATTTATCCACCTTAGAACGTAATGATTTAATCTCTCTGTTCAAGCAATATGAGAATCTGTTTCCTGATGTGCCTCGTCGGACAACGAAAATCGAGCATGACATTGATGTGGGCGCTACGCGTCCAATTAAACAACAGCCTTATCGTGTAAATCCACATAAAAGAATGTTGTTTTTAGAAGAGGTGAAGTTTATGCTGAGGAACGGCATTGCAGAGTCTAGTAATAGTCCATGGAGTTCGCCCTGTCTTCTTATTCCAAAGAGTGATGGTACCACGCGGTTTTGCACAGATTTTCGTAGAGTGAACGCTGTTACCAAGCCTGACAGTTATCCCTTGCCACGTGTTGACGATTGTGTTGATCGTTTGGGTTCTGCTGTATTCGTCAGTAAAATTGACCTATTGAAGGGATACTGGCAGGTTCCGTTGACGCTCCGTGCCAGGGAAATCTCCGCTTTTGTGACCCCAGATCACTTCCTGCAGTACACTGCTATGGCCTTCGGTCTTCGAAACGCTCCTGCCACCTTTCAGAGGCTTATCAACAGCGTTCTGGAAGGAGTGTCCAACTGCGAGGCCTATTTAGATGACTTGATCATTTATAGTGATACCTGGGTCTCACATCTGGCCCATCTTTCTACTGTCTTTGACCGATTGTCAGAAGCTAATTTGACCATTAACCTGGCTAAGCGTGAGTTTGGCCAGGCCACCGTGGTATATTTGGGCAAAGTGGTTGGTCGGGGACAGGTGCGTCCTGTCCAGTCTAAAGTTGAGGCGATTCTGAATTATCCTCCTCCAACTACTCGTCGTGAACTCCGTCGTTTCCTCGGCATGGTCGGTTACTACCGATCGTTTTGTAAAAATTTTTCTGTTTTTGCTTCACCTCTCACTGATTTGCTGAGTCCGAAGGTGTCTTTTTCCTGGACTTCACGGAGTCAAGCTGCCTTTGACTCTATTAAAGCACTGTTGACTACTGCGCCTGTGCTAGCGGCCCCTAATTTTTCTTTGCCTTTTGCCATCGCCGTTGACGCGAGTGATCTGGGAGCGGGAGCTGTTCTTCTGCAAAATGACGCGGATGGACTGGAACACCCTGTCTGTTTTTTTTCGCGTAAGTTCACCCGCTGTCAGCGTGCTTATTCGACAATAGAAAAGGAGGCTCTTGCGCTAGTGCTTGCCGTCCAGCACTTCGAGGTTTATGTCGGAGGTGCTTTGTCTCCAGTGGTGGTCTATACAGACCACAATCCCTTGGTTTTTCTTGATCGCATGAGAAATTCCAACCAGCGATTAATGCGGTGGAGTTTGATTCTCCAAGGTTGTAACTTGGAGATTAAGCACATTCGAGGACGTGACAATGTAGTTGCAGATGCATTGTCTCGTGCTTGATGTAAATGAGTTAAATAAATTGGGATCAGAGATTTAAATTTATATTTGTTGTACTTAATTTTTTTTTTCTTTTTCCTGTTCAGCAGGTTTTGGAGATCCTGCGGCCTGCGAGTTTGTAGATGTTTATGGATGATTTTTCCTTTGTTGACTGAAACCCCAATTTATTTTCTTTAAGGGTGGGGGTGTTACGTGGTTGTACGTTGGGGACACTGTTTGTGTTGTTCTTGTTCGTTTTGTTGTTTTCTGTTTCCTGCCTTATAGGTCACGTGACGTCTCCCCGGTTGCGAGTGGGCGGGGCCGACTGTTTTTAAAAGGACGGAGATTCACATTCTCGCTCTCTCTCACTGGGTTTAGACCTCGCTCTCCCTCTGGTGCGGTCGGACGCCGTGCTCTCTCCCATGTTTCCTCCTCGCCGTGGTTGCTCATGTCGGAGCGGATGCTGTACCCAAAAGCTCCCATGGGCTTGGCCGATGTTGCCTTTGAGCTAGATGGCGTCGGAACGGTGTAAACAGACCACGCATTAACCCCAGTACCTGTCCTGACATTTGTGTGGGTGTTATGACGAAGTCGTTTATTTTTGTTTTGAGTTGGTGGTATTGGTGACGGGTTTTTCACTTGTTTAGTCTAAGATTATTTTAGAGCAGCAGTCAGTGGACCCGGAAGACTCACCGAGAACTTGTCTTTGTTTGGAACGGGAGGCAGACAAGTGTGTTGGATTCGGTAGATATTAGTGAGCAGGGTTCTTCTTTCTGTTTGCTTTATGTTTATTTTACCACCAGACTTTGTTACCGTCCTACCTGTCTTTCTTGTTAACCACTGACAATAAATTATTTTTATATTGTCCACGAACGTTCTTGTGGTTTCTTTATATGTTAGGATGTCCCCGATTAAACTCAGTTAGGGGGCACGTAACAGGCACGGATGCGTGAAGCTGTAGTGCAAAACGTGGTCTCCTTGTTGCATTCCACTTGTGATGCCTTCTGGTTGTGACACACAGTCTGACTTCTGTGCTTACTGGTGTTGCGGCAGCACATAGATGGTTCTTGAGTTTGGAGCTTGTGGTGTGATGGGTAACCAGGATGGTGTTTTCTGGTACCTCTGGGTGTTTGTCAGTGGTTGACTGTGAGAAGCCACTTTGTTCTGTGTTGTTGTAGAACAGGTGGACGTCTCAGGAAGGTGTGCAAGGGTGATCACTGGTCTTCTGTGTTCAGCTTGTCTTTGAAGAACACTTGCAGTCGACTCAGTAGTCGCTCCATGTCCTCTGAGGGGAGACTGTCGTGTTCTTGGACACACTCAGTGTGATGTGGTGGTGGGTTTCGTTGTCGCTTACCCACATAGAATGCTTTTGGATGCACTCGTTGATTCCAGTTGTTTCCTTCTGAGAAGTGTGGCTGGTCCAATGACTTTTCCACGTGGTTGGAGTGGTAGCTGTCATCGGCATGGGAGTCACGCTCTCTGTGCTCCTGATGAAGGACTGTGGCGTTGTCATGCCACTGGGTGTCTTCCAGTGCAAGGCTTGTGTCTTGGCTGCTGGAGTTTGACACTGTGGATGTTTTCAAACCTTTCTTTGAAGTCATCTTTTGTTTGATGTAGGCCTTGTGTGTCAGGTCACGTAGCTGTTGAAGCGTCATGGTGACTGGGCAGGCCATGATGCCGAGATGACGACTCAGTCCTGGGTGCAGGTTTCTCAGGAAGAGGGTTTTGAAGTTCAGATCCTCTTCAAATTCAGGTTTGCTATGTGCACCGAAGTAGGCTTGTCGGAAACGGTGATAATAGGCTTGGGGAGTCTCTTGACGACCTTGTTTGGTTTCCAAGGCGACTAACTAATCAGGATCTCACGTAGCAGCTGGTAGTTTGACTTGACATGAGCAGGTTGTCGGTCTAGGACGCTTCGTACCTCTTGACTGGATGTGGATCTGAGGAGGTATAAAATGTCTCTGTCAGTCATATGTGGTCTCACCTCTAGGAGGAAGTCGATATCTTGGAGGTAGGCCTGGATGCAGTGGCCCTCCGTGGAGTTCGGGTCGAACTGGGTGATGTTCTTAGCCAGCTGGTTGAGATCTTTGAAGGTCATTCCAGTTGCAGCTTTAGAGTCTGGCTGGATGATCTCTCTTTGTTGGTTGGCAGGGAAGAGTTCTGTGGTGAGGGCCGGTGACGTTTTGGGGTGTGGCCATTCACTTCTTCCGTAGGATGACAGTTCTTGGATGGAGGACTCTGTTCTGCTCAGCAGTGATGATGCTGAGGGAGGTCTCTCCCTTCTTGGCTCTGGTTTCTTGGCTGTTGGTTTTCCAGGTGCTTCTGGACAGTCTTTAACTCTTGTTTGTCACGTTCAGTGACTGCAAGGGCTTCTTGGAGCTTGTCAACTTGGGTCTTTGTTTCATGCTCCGCTTCGTCGGACGCTTTGAGCTGGTCTTTGCAGTGTTGAGTGTGCGTCAGCTCTCTCAGGAACTCGGTGGTCTTGAGGTCGTCCTGGACTTTCACTTCCAGCTTGTCTATGCGGCTTTGGGCACGCGTCAGCTCCTCCTGAAGGTGGGTGACGTGCTGGTGGCTTAGCTTTAGCTGGGCTGTGAAGGCATTGCTTAGGGAACAGGTTATTTTTGTTAGTTCCACATGGCTTTGGTTTTGGCTTGAATCATGTGTCAGGAATCTTCTCAGAATTATGATTATTATTAAAAATAATAACAGTTCAATTGTCTTTGGTGTGAGGCAGTCTGTAATGCCTCTGAGCCAGGCGTCCATGTCTTCCCGTTGGGCAGTGGGGTTTGTCGTCCACGACATGTTGGCATGCTCGGTGAAGAGACTGACACAGATCTGTGTGGTATAAGCCTATATGTGGTTGCACGGCTGAGTGTAGTTTCAGTAAGTGTGCACTAGGGGTGGCACGGTTCACAAAACCCACGGTTCGGTTCGTATCACGGTTTTAGGGTCACGGTTTTCGGTTCTGTACGGTTCTTCTTGTTATTTTTTATTTTAATCTTTAACACTCCAGAAATTTCCTTCAGCATATGATACATACACAGGAAAAATAGCAGAGTAGTTTTTCCAGAGTAATTATTTTTTTCCTCAAAAAGAGTTGTTTTTTATCTATTTTGAGTGAACAGAGTAAAATGTGTCCATAGAGTGGGAGCAAAATTATAGAGTAACTGTGACTCCTCCCCAAAATCTTCTGCTCCCTAAGTTTCGTTTGTCAGCCATTACTGTTCTACACGGCCATCGCGATCGCGATCTGCATTTGGATTTGGAAGAGATCGTTGTGCTACTGCTGGATTTAAAAGTAAGTAGAATTCCAAAGTTTTAGTACCCATTTTCATAAAAATCGCCTCTGTTTTGAGCTCAGATCAATTCCGCGGTTTTTGAACATTACAGAGATAGCTTTCTCATGTTAACTTGATGTGAAGTTTAACGTGACCGTTAAGTTAGTGCTCGACAAGAAAATCACTAACGTTAACGTTAATCACTTGTTTGTTAAATGCAGTTGTACAGCCAAAATGCTAAGCCTATGTTAGTTAACTGGGAAGGCGAACACATAAGGATCACATTTTAAACTGGGCTCAAGATTAAACTAATGGGATAAATTAACTTATTTTTGTAATCACCCCAAACGCAAAGAACGTTAGATGACATAAGTTATAGCTTAAGTAAACGTTAACACTAGTGAAACTAGCTAGCTGCATAATTATGTGTGTCCACTGTCCAGTAAGCGGCTTGAGTTGTGCGCCACATGTACATGACTCTATTAAGAGTTAAGTTAACGTTAGCCTTAATTGGAATGATGGAGGCTATTTATAAGTTATAGCTTACATAAACTTTAATTGACACTATTGAAACTAGCTAGCTGCATATTGATGTGTCCAGTAAGTTATACGTACATTAACGTAACATTACTGTGACGATGAGCGGCTCGAGTTGTGCGCCACATGTACTTGACTCTGTAAAGAGTTAAGTTAACGTTAGCCTTAATGATGGAGGCCATTTTGATGTGGTCATTTTGAGTGTTAACAATGCGTTAAATATTTGTTCATGATGAATAACTTACACATGAACAAATGATTAATGCATTATTAACGCTCTAGTAGAAAATATTAACTAACGAATTCTGATTAATAAATAGTGAGTAATAGCGCTCAGAATGTGTTAGTTCACTATTAGCTAATCAGTAACTTTTTCATACCTCCCATAGGATTACTAATAAATAATAACTACTACTGCTTGTAGGTTCATAATTAACGTGAATAATGCATAATGTATAAAATATTGTAATGTTGGTAACCCACTGATTATGACTCAAGTATTACCAAATAGTTCATAGGGAACTACTTATTATTTGGAACAGTATTCTAAAGTTAAAAGCATGATAACTTCCTTGTAATGAATGACTATTGTAAGCTTTTGATATAATCAGGGCTTCATCTGACTGTGAGTGTTAACGCCTTAACTGTCTTTTTGGTCCCTCCAGAATGCAAACCAACAACGTTGTGAGACTGAGAGTGAAGTTCAAAGACACCAAGAAATATATTTTTTCTCCAACACCTTTTACATTTCAAGAATATGCAAAGGGAATCATCTCCCTATTCCCATACTTGGCAGAATGGGTCACCCAGGATCAAGCTTGGTTATGTACGTAGCTGTTGCCTCTCAATATTTTTGATTTACAGGAGGATGATATACTCTGTATACTGCAGAGTAAAGATTATCTACATTATTATTCATATGGTATTTATTTCTTTAATTGTGTAATGTATAACTACTAGGTCTGTGTATTGTTCTGGTCATAGGAGCATTATTACAATCCAGAAGATGGAAGTGGATATCTGGCATGGAGAATAAAAACCCTGCAGAAAGAAGAATCAGAGGGACGGATGAAAAGGCAACCACAAACAGGTGTGAGATTTGATTTTTAGTCTGCTTTTATTAGCTTGAACGGAATGATTAATAAACTTTTGTAACTTTTTTATTGACCATACAACTTGGTTATTTTACGCATCTGTCTTTGAAGTATTATTTTGTTCCAGATTGGTCAGTCATTAAGTCATAATGTAAATAAGGTCGAGAGTAACATAGTATCTTTTCAAAATATAATTGCTGTTCTCAGGGATGGGCAACAATTAATCGCGAATTCGCGATTAATCGCATCCAAAATAAAAGATTGTGTTTACATAATATATGTGTGTGTAGTGTGTATAATTAATTTATAAATATAAATACCCACACATGTATGTGTATATTTAAGAAGAATGTGTTATTAATATATCAAATATTTATATATAATATTAATTATGTTTAAATATATATAAAGTATATACATGCAAATATTTCTTAAATATATACATGCATGTGTGTATATTTATATATACAAATTAATTATACACACTACACACACATATATTATATAATTTTATTTTGGATGCGATTAATCATTGCCCATCCCTACATGTTGGGCAAATTTAAAAGTCTGGGATACTCTCACTCTGGGATTATCCCACTCTGGGATACTGTATGGTTTCTATGTTTTTTTTCCTGTCATCTAGTTCTGGTCATAAATGTGTTGTGCTTTTGAAAGAAAAGGAACAAAATATTTTGTTTTCATATTGTCTTAAATACTTTCAGGTGGGCCAACTACTGACAGGGATCCCTTCAAAGCCGCGAGGCCTCAAACAGACTAGTGAGCTCCAAGACGTTATCCAAAATGCTGAAGGTAACTATTGTGCTATAACTTAAATTATTTAATTGGAAGTTATGCATTTATGACAGCATAGCTTTATTCAGATCTAGAGTTTACTCTATACTTTACCCATTAGACATGCTTGATTCATATGCAACACAGACTTGCAATGGGTAAACTGTCAGAATGAAAATCACATGTTTCTCTAACATTTCTACCTTGATCTTCTCTCAAAGACCTAGTAGAGGAGTTTACAGATTTACAGTTTGAAATGGCTTTCATATTGGTCTCTGAAATATAAAAAGTTTAACTCTTTGATATAAAGTTTAACTCTTTGACCTCATTTTAATATCTGTAAAAACGATATAAACACTGTTCGATTTCTCAAACAAACCGCTCGTTTCGTGTCTTAGGCCATCAATGTGTACTTACATTTACGAGTCATTCAATCATGTTTAATTTGGACTTCTCTGTGCATGCTCTTTGAGGTGGTGACCATAGACCTCCATTATATGACTGACAGACAAGAACGGTTTGACTGAAAAATGTCAAAATTGAAAATACTGTGGAAACAAAGACACCTACATCTTGGATGCCCTTGAGGTAAGCTAAAACATATCAAAAATTAATTTCAAAGTGAACTATCCCTATAATACTTATTCTGTGTGCAGTATAAACTAAAGTACTGGAGTGGTTAAAGTATTTATACTGACACATCATCCAAGTGAAGTTAAGTCTACGTAAAACTAGTTCAACTGAGTATGTTCATCCCCTTCTACCTAAAAAACTAAAACAAATGTGTTTATTTTGTTTTCCTTGTCTTCAGGTTGGGACAGCGACATGTCATCCATTCTGATGCTGGTTCACCTTTTGCCACCCTCAAGTTAAGGCCGGGAAAGATCTCAGCGAGAAAAGCGTGATTCTTGTGAAATTCATCAAGGTGAAGCAACTGATGAAGCAGATAAAATGACACTAGTTCATATGAAGAGTTCAGATGCAAAAGCCTCTAAGTGCCATTTGAAATTTTCTTCTAGAATGATCATTTTTATCAAGCCTGTATATTTAAGTTCAGTAATTTCACTTAAATGGCAATGAAGATTACCTATTGATTGTCATTTAAGTGAAATTACTGAACTTAAATATACAAGATTGATAAAAATGATCATTCTAGGAGAAAATTTCAAATGGCACTTAGAGGCTTTTGCATCTGAACTCTTCATATGTTGTGTTACTGTGTGACCTTGAACTTGCTTATTTCTCAGACAGGTTCTTATAGATCACCTACCATCCAAATTGTTGTTCTTGTGCTATTCTTTTCTGCTTAGTACAGTAACAATCTGTTGAAACTATGTAATAAAGAAACTTTGAGGGAAGACACAATTTTATCACAATTTTCGATTATTTTATTATTATTGTTAATTTTTATTTTATTTTTTTGATCACAAGTGAATTGAGTGTAAGTGCAACATTGTTTAAACAGGTGCTTGAAAAATAAAATTGAGATATATGAGTATAAAGTTGTTGATTTTTTTTTTTTTCAGACAAAGCAAGTTTTTCATTTATATTTTTACGACTTTTTGAGGGTAAAACATGAATGGTGCAATTCAGAAAAATAATTTACTCTTTATAGTTTACTCATAATTGATAATAAACAACTCAGGAGGGAAAGTAAATTGTGGCAGAGTACATTTAAAGTTCCCCTGAACAGAGTTAAAAAGTAGCAGAGTAATTTTCTTGTAGCTCTAAACTGAGTAAAATAGCATGAGAGTTGATTTTAAAAAACACTAAATAGAGTTAAATATCATTGGAAAGAGTAAAATTGTATCACTAAATTGAGTATAATTAACTCTGGAAAAACTGCTCTATCAAAAGAGTAACTTTTACTCTTTTCAGAGAGGGACCAAATGTTATCTGGAATAGAGTAAAATTTTCTTCAATTTGAGTAAATTTTACTCTGACAAATTTACTGTGTAGCTTATTAGCTTAATTATCCACAATTTAGAATACAGTATACATTTTTTATATGTACCTTTTTTATCATTATGTAATAATCATGCACTATGAATTTGGGACCCTCTCTGAGTAAAAGCTAGTTGAGATTTTGATACAGCAAAAGAGAAGACATTGATGATTACATTCTTTTTGTTTATTTGGCACAACAAAAGAAGAATGTGTATTGTCATCTCCTACAGGAACTTGTGCCTTTTTAGCACACAAAAATTAACTTGCATTTATCAATTATCAAACTTCAGTGTAGCTCTTACAAAGAACAATATTTTAAAAGAAAAAGAGAAGAACTCTTAAAGCTCTGTCTTTATACAAGTCAAAAATACTTTAAACATAAATATATAATATAATGCAAAAACATAATATAATGAGGCTATAACTAGCAAAGGCTAGTTAATTTTAACCAGCTTAACACAAACAGTATAACAATGCTTCTATCTATTCCCTGAGAGTGAGGATACATTTCTTTCACTTGAAATTAAAGTGCAGTATTTGGAAACTAGAAATTAAAGTGCCACTGTATGTATATAAAAACAAATTAAAAACAAAAATGCTGGCTATCAAAATGGCTATAAAATGTTGAAATAAAAAACACACTCCTGTTCACTTAATTTTCATATTCTTCTGCAAGAATATCAGTTTGTCCACATTTTCTGCCAAGAGGCGAGACCTACTTGCAGTGACTATGTCCCCAGCCGTTGAGAAAACACGTTCACTTGGCACAGATGTACCTTGGACAGCGAGGTTGCGTTGGGCTAACTTAGCAATGTGCGGATACTTGTGCTCATTGCTCTTCCACCATGCGAGTGGGTCTTCATCCACAGAGATGCAGCCTGTGGCCTTGTATGAGGTGACCTCTTCATGGATGATGTCTGACAAAGGCTTTGTTCTTCTTTCCTCTGTTTTAAACAAATCTGCAAATACCATTGCCATGGCAGATTTTTTCTGGGGAGGAGAGGTCTCTGATGGCCCTGGCTCTGCTCCTGAGGATGAACTGGCTGTTTGGCCTTCACTGCTTTGACCCTGATGAGTATATGACAAAATAAACATTTTGGAAATGTTAATAACAACAAATAGCTCACATGGCAGCAAAAAGTTATTCTCTACTGGGCAGTGGGGAATAGAAAAATATTACAATATTACAGGCACAAATAGATTAAATAGGTTTGGTTTAGTAAAAAATTAAATTGCAATTATCATTAGGATAAAAACAATATATAAAATAAATCAAATTTAAGTTAGATAAAAAAAAAAAACCATGCACAAAAAATAAAATAAAATTACCTGCTTTTCAATGTCCAAAATGTCCGTGGTTAGATCGTCGTAGATTTTCTGAATACAGGCTTCTTCCAGGTAAGGCAGGGACTTGAATCTTGGATCAAGTGCTGTGGCTCTGTGCAGATAATCCTGAACACCAGGGTCATTGTATCTGCCTTTAAGGTCTTTAGTGATGGCTGCCTTAGCTTCTTTGATGGTGGTACTGTCCTCTGCACTTGATGTCATGGATTTCAGTATCATCTTCTGCAGTGGGATAATCATTGAAACTGAGGGTGATGTTTCTGTGCTCATGAGGGTGATTACATTCTTCAGAGGTTTGAGAATATGAATGAGACCCTCGGCCAGTTTTGTCTCACTTTCAGTTAACAAGGCAATGTCGTTGACTTTCTTCTTCATATCCTTGTCCATCACTGCAGAGTAGATGGCAGCCTGTTGCTCCACATAACGTTCTAACATGTCATATGTGGAGTTCCAACGAGTTGTTACGTCGTGAATTAGTTTGTGAACGGGCAATTTCAGCATATCCTGCTTGGTTTTCAGAGCATGGGCAGCTGTTGTGCTTCGGTGAAAGAAGCTAACCACCTTCCTAACCTTCCCCAAGAGTCGGGATACTTGGTTTAGTGAGATTGCACTCTTGGCTGCAAGGTTAACTGTGTGTGCGAAGCACCCGATCTGTGGCCCAAGTCCCGCTGCTAAATTGATAGCATTCACTATATTTTTTGCATTATCTGTAGTAACAGGAATTATGGTATTTACCCTCTCCAGTTTCCATTCCGCCACAGCATCTGTCAACATTTCAGAGAGATGCTCACTGGTATGACTTTCATAAATGGGGCGTGTTTGCAAAACGCAGCTTCTCATCTCCCACTCCGAAGTTATATAGTGAGCGGTCACCGTGAGGAAACTTTCAGTGGCCCTGGAGGTCCATCCGTCTGTAGTGAGAGCTACATGGGCTGTTTCTGACAATTCTTTTTCAATTTCTCCTTGTGTCTCGTCATACAGTTTTGGAATTATAGTGGTGCCGAAGTGACGGCGGGAGGGAATATTATACCGCGGCTCGAGTACATTCATCAGCTGACGAAATCCTTCACACTCAATCACGCTGTACGGTTGCATATCTTTTGCTATAAACATCCCCAATGCTTTAGTTATGGCTACTGCCCTGTCTGACTTATCACTGAGAGGTTGCCTAAATGCTGCGGGCAGTTGAAGTTGTTTCCTAACCGGCTCTCTCCTGTTTATGCTTACCGACACATTGGCGTGATGTCTTCTCAAATGAACTGTCATATTAGAAGTGTTGCCATTAGCATATTGAATGCATTTTGCGCAATGCTTGCACACAGTCGCAGTTCTATCCACTGTTTTATTTCTGTTGTCATCGTAAGAAATAGGAAATCCAAAATGTTCCCAAACACCGGATCTGAACGACGCGGGCGCATCAGCCAACTCCGGGCACCCTTCATTATCTCCTCCACTTGCCATTTCTGCAGCACACTTTTACTGCGTCTTTGTATGTTCGCGCGAAACTGTCTGAGGTGAAACTCTCTGAGCACGAGGCTACATTGCGCATGCGTCGAACCTTGTGAACCGTGACCGAGACAAGCGAACCGAACCGAGACAAGCGAACCGAACGGTTCGGGTGTTTTTTCATGTACCGTGCCACCCCTAGTGTGCACCAATAGTGAAGTGTCGTGATGACTAAATGTTGGTCTAAGTGTACACAGTGAGGCTAGGGATGTGAAGATCTCGTCACTCAACTGGGTAAAGGAAAGAAAAAGAGAGAGGTTAAAACAAATCTCCAATGGAAAAAGCTTTTTGTTTCAATGGGAGAAAATATTTTTTTGTGAATATTTTCTATCACTGGAAAGCTGGTTTCAACTCGTGAGGTGAGGACTTAGTCACTCAACTGAGTAAGAGAAGAAGAGAGAAAAGTTAACGACCAATTTCAAATGAGAGAGAAACGAAACAAAAAGGAAATTATTAACTAGGGAAAGTATCAATTTCTCATAAATGTTTCTATCAATGACAATCTGTTTCCAGAAAGGTAAACAATATTTTTGATTATGTTTGCAATGAAAAATAATACAATAATAATGCTGATACCTCTTTTCTGAGTTTGACAGGATTGACACACACACCTTCGGTTGGACCGCTTACAGCAGGGATGCTTTGAAGGCGGAGTTTGCTCAACACTTGTCTCTGTTAATTGATCTTGGATAAGATGTCAAAGTTTAAATTGCGTTTACAAATGCAGGGAGAGTGAGAAGAACACAAGAGGGTTTGATTAAAAATCAAATACCTAATAATCTGTTGGGAAAGATTATCTTTGTCTCTTTTTAGAGTTGGTTGATGGTTCTTCCAGGTTTGTTCCCTACAAATGTGCAAAATAAGATGGAATAAAGCAGGACAGAACAGGAAAGACGCGATGAGGAGGAAATGAAGCAAGGAGGTTGGATCCCGCTACCTTTAGATCTACTACGAGTAGTATAGAATTGATAGTTGATGAACAACTAAACACACAAATAAACTTTGTAAAAGACGATTGTCTCTGGTTTATTTGAAACTCGTATGGAGATGGTAATGTCTCCTATTGAAGCGTCACGCAAATGAATTATTCCAATATAGTGGTTAAGTTTATAACCAACCAGACGAAAGGATAAAACGCAATGACAATAATAAGCAAATCTGAGTCTAACACTATTTTTGTAATAGTAATAACAACTTTTCAAATTTTAACTTTCGGAGTTCTTAAGTTT